ATTGTCATAAACATTTATTTATTTATTTATTTTGTTGAATGATATATGATTAAGTCCTTTCATTTTCTTTGCCATTTGATTATAACTTATAGTGTAATTAAAATTTGTATTGAATGATTGTCATAAACATTTATTTTATTTTTTTTAAATTAAAGCCTTAAATATTTTTCCACCAATAAGGAGAGAGTGAAACCTTACTTTTATATATATGATTAACTTATTATTATAAATCGATTTGGTCTGTGTTTTTTTGGTAGTTTAATCTCTAATAAATGAACTGATAACTATAACTAAAACTTAAAAAGAAAATTTTATTTTGTGGTATATATATAATAAAAAATAATTTGTTTTCCACGTAAGTTACAGTTTGAATTTTTGAAAACCGACATATATTACAGATATTGGAACGGTTGTAAGAAGAGATGGATTGTAAGCCGAGAAGGATTTAAATTACATACTCCCTCTGTTTCACAAAAAGTGTCATTTTAAAGTTTTATTTTTGTTTCACAAAAGTGTCATTTTACATTTTCAATGCATCTTTTACACAGGTGTGGTGCGATGCATGATTGGCTGTAATTTTAGAGATATTGTTTTTCTTACTGACTAATCGGACTTGGTGAAGATGGTGTCTCCTCCTCATGAGTGGCCGGCGTTCTCTGTATACCTAGAAGATATCAACAATGACAGGGAGGAATTTTCATCATTTTCTATATCTTTTATTCCTAGAAATTTGAATGTAAAAGCGGATTCCTTGGCTCGCAAAGCCCGTTCTACTCTGCATATTGTCAAGTTTGTAAACAATTGTCCACCGAGTTGGCTCACTTGAGTCTTCTCCTCAGTTCGTTGATGACAAAACAAAAAAAATGCATCTTTTACACTAAACATCCTAATTTTACTCTTAATCTAAAACTAACTAAACCCCTACATCACTTATTAAATAAGAACATATGTGTATATTTTAATGCTTTCTTAATTTTTGTGATATGTGTCAAATTGACATTCTTTGTGAAACAGAAAGAGTATAAAGTAAAATATTTAAAATATTTTGAAACTAACTTTTAAAAAGTTTAAGTGTTAGTAATATTTTAACTCTACATCAAGTTTAAACTAAATCATTATTGACCTAGTCATAATTTTGAACATGCATTTAATTTTTCAACGATTATATGACGGGATGGTTGTAATATGGTTCGAACATATTATATGACGGAACAGGTTGTAAGACGAGACGAGTTTGAATTGATATTACTAAAATAATAAAATATTATTAAACACATACTTCAATACTGATGGAATCTTCATTTTACTATTTTTAAAACAATATTAGTATAGGATATGTATAATCAAACTGATTTAGTAAAAATTAATAATATGCAATTTTATTAATTATTAAATGAATTTAAACTCTGTGAATTTTGTAAAATGTGAATTAAAATAAATGTTTGACCTCTAGTGTACCACGAGTTAAAATCTAATTAGAATTAAAAAAATTAAAAAAATAGTTATATCAAATTTTGAAAATAACGATATTTTTCTCAATTGACAAAACAATGTTATTTTAGAGCAATACTTGGGTTCACTCCTAGGGGTGAACCAACCTTATTCACCCCCTATTGATTAACCAATCAAAATAAAACAATATGCCATGTCATATTATATTTAAAAATAAATCAAAAATAAAATAAACCTTAACCACTCTTTTATAACCCGAACCAAAATATAATTTTTTTAATTACAAAATTGAAACCCTAACCACTATTTTATAAACCCAAACCAAAATAAAATGTCGTCTTATAACAAAATTTAAACCCTAATTACTATTTTGTCAACCCAAACCGAAATATAATGTTGTTTTAATTACAAAAATCTAAACCCTAACCATTATTTTCTCAACCCAAACCGAAATATAATTTTGTCTGATTACAAAATCTAAACCCTAGCCACTAATTTTTCAACGCAAACCGAAATATAATTTCGTTTAATTACAAAATTTAAACCCTAACCACTAATTTGTCAACCCAAACCGAAATATAATTTTGTTTAATTATAAAATCTAAACCTTAACCACTATTTTATAAACTCAAACCAAACTATATTTCCTTAATAAAAATCCTACAGAATTTGTTTCCATAGTTTGATTTGTTTTCTTTTATTTTAATTTTGATTTACTTTTGTAAATAAAAATGATGTGGCATATTGTTGTATTTTAATTGGCTAATTAAGAGGGGGTGAACAAGAGTGGTTCACCCCATACTTTTGGTTATTTTATTAATAACGGATTAGTCAATGGAGTAAACGGATGTTAGATGCTCTTTATTATCAAATTTTATGATATGCCACATTATGAAATAACTGTGTATGTGGACTATTACAAGACCAAACAGCCCAAAATGGCCAGATGCCCAGATACAAATAGCTAAAAATACAAGGTCAAACAGACCAAACAAGGCCACAGGCTGGCGGATGCAGAATTGTTTTTACCTGGGGCACAAAGTGTATATATATATCAATTTCAAGATGAAAAATAAACTTTCAATTTATCAAAAAGTATATCTATATATATATTTAATATTTTCTTATATATATTTTCTTATTTAATATATATATATATATATATTAGATATTTAGATTTACTTATCTAACCGTATCACACAAACTTAAACACTAAAAATAAATATATATATATATATATATATATATATATATATATTAATTACAAAATGATAATATTCTTAATGTTACTAATTTGCTAGTTTTACTATCAATTTGATAAACAAGATATATGTATACTACACCAAAAAAAATGAATTAGTTTTTCTAAAATTAAACTGGAAATAGAAAAAATAAATATCTAAAATTGATAAAAGCATATAATTTTATAGTACTAATGAGCAAAAGGAGGCCCAAACTCACGTTGGTAATGCTGAAAAATTAAGCAAATAGTACTAGTGTGCAACGGAGGCTCGAACTCACGTTGGCAATGCCAAATAGCTATGTGCCAGTTGTGCTAAATGACACATTTGCGTATAACTACTTGTTAAGTTCCACATTACAGTTAGATACCAAGTTCATTCTTGGACAACAACAACAGCAAGAAGCCTATAATACAGAGATCGATACTACAACTCCATGCTCATTTTCCAAGTTTCTATTCTCGGATATAACGTGATAAGCGCGAAATCGATGAAGACTTCAGATGACAAGCATGTTTCATGATATAACTCACGAAATCCCTCTCTTCTGGTCTTCCCGTGTACCCAGCAAACTCAAAAATTTCAAGACTATCCAACAAACATTTGGGAACAGAGGTCTCATCGTTATATTTCCAGCTAACATGTTCATAGTCCTCATCATACTCTGGATCACCCTGAGATTATATATTTATTTAAGAAAAAGAAGAGAATTAGTAAGACAACACTATAGAATGCTTTTAGATTGTAACCTAAGAAACTTACATTAACTAGAAGCTTGAGGACTCGTAGTTTAGGAGAATCCTCGAGCATCCGTACAAGTAACTTTGACCAATTATCGCGGTATATTTCTAGCTTCAGATGTTCAAGGTGATTGAAGACAATCCCATAATGATACATATTCTGCAAACATAGATCAAATTCAGTCTCAAGAAAAGATAAATAACAATTTAATATCTCAAGTGATATTAAAAAGAAGTACCTCGTCTTCAATGTCAAGTAGTACAGATAACGAAAGGCGCTTGACAGATGTGATTGATTCGAAAAGCTTTTCAACATCTTGCTCAACAAAGAGATCTGCTTCTTCAACCTTAGGCATATGCGTAATCAAATAGGAGAAACGTTCTCCATAAAGACTCGGAACTTCGAAATACTTCAAAGAAGGAGTAACTATGACATATCCATCACATGAATATCCACCATCTATAGGCAAAGTTAGTCTCAGTAAAGATGGAACCATAACAACTAAGGTTTTCACATTGTCATGTCTATTTCTTTCAATAATCAACTCTTCAAGAACAGGACAATACGAAAGAAGCAGTTTAAGGGAATCTTCATTCGAGTACACCACACAATGAAGCTCCAGAGTTTTCAAAGAAGGAAGACAAACCGTTCGAGGAACATCCACAATAATTTCACAGGTAAGTTTCAAAGTCACAAGCGAATTGCAAGTGTACAAGCTACTTGGTAATAATGCAACAGGTTTGCCAATGTATGACAAATCACAACAGTCGATGATCAGCTCAAGAACATTGCGAGAAATCGAAGTATCGACCCAAAGCTTTATATCCTCAGGTGGAAATGATGTAGTAAAACATTGGAGATGAAAGCTTTCTATAACGTGAGGTTTAAGTAAAGGCAGGTTCTTGGTGATAAAATCACGAATGGGAAGATCTGGTTTGAAATGATTCATCACGAACTTGAGTTTAGGAACCCACATCCAAAGAAACTCCCATCGTTTAGACAAAACACTAGTTGATACAACTTCTTTTGTCGGGAGTAAGGACAGTATCTTGACTAGTAATTCATTAGGTAACCCACTGATTCTATCCATATCTTTAACCCTAAAACAAAAGATTTCAAATTTTCAGATCCTCCACGTTAACAAAACACACACACAAAAAGAGAACACAGGTAAACACAAGTATGACTGTAAAGGATTTGTCTAATTGTCTGAAAGCAACAGAACAAAACAAAGGAACGAGACAAAACCTAAACAATAGAGAAAAGTTGGGAAAATAAAAAAACCCTAGAAAGAACCTGTGTAGCTACTTTCAATGGAAGCTGGATGGATTCTCCGTTCTCGCTCAGGAAGATGAATCAGGAGCAAACTAGGGAAGTGTTGTGACTGAGCTCTAGCATCGATGTTGAGTGTGAACTTCTATGTGGGTGTTTTTGTATGGGCCTTCAACATGGCCCTTTTAATAGGTTTCTAAAGCCCAACATATTTTGTATCTTTTAGTGTCCATGTTTTTTTTTTGAAGTTATTATATAAATCGATTTGGTCGTTTTTTGTAATATAGTCTCTAATATATGAACTGATAATTATAATTAATTTTTAAAGAAAATTACATATTTGATATAACGAAAATTCATAGTTTAAACAGTATTTTTCCTAGTCGATAAAACGACGTTATTATACCAATAACGGATTAGTTAACGAAATAATAAACGGAGTGTTACATGTTTCGTTGTCATATTTTACGACGTGTTATATTTTGACTTCATCAATAATATTTGATGTTTAAAAAAATAGTCAACACGATTCCATCTCATAAATTACTTTATGGAAAATTCATGATTTATATGAAACTTTTTTGGGAAAGTTCATGGTTTTATGTGATATTTTCCCAAAAAAGTGATGATGTTACATGTTTTTTCCATGTCTCCATTGTTTTACATATGAGTCATCATCTCTAGAACGAAACTATTCAAATTAGCCGACACTAAACTGTACATAGTCTATGTACAACATTTCATCCACAAACCAATGATTAAAACCAAAAGTGTTCAAAAACCAAAACCAAAAAACAAATCAACAATTTAAGCATGGAAATAGGATAAACATATAAATCTTTTTTTTATCATATTATTACTAAACAGATTACATAGAAATATCATAACGTATATTGTATATTAAATTAATCTCCCTCCATAAAATCACCATTGTATATTGTATAGTAAATTAATCAAAACAAATAAATATCTTTTTATCGATGTTTTTCTTCTTCCGACTCCATGAACATAGAGTTCCTCCTAGTTCTAGCTACAGCCGGCGGAGACTCGTAACATTTTTTACGACAAGCCGCACATTCGGACACCGGCGATGTACGTGTACAATGCTTTCGACAAATCCTAGTGCATTCGATCTCCGATTTCGCCTCGCATTCTATCACAATTACCGCTAGTACCATCATCAACAACGCAATGCTAATTACTTTACCCATTTCTTTGTACTTTTAACTCTTTTCTTTGTTTGTGTTTATGAATGAGTTCTAACTTGTGATGAAAACGTTTGTATTTATAATACTGAGACCAAATGAAAACATCTGTATTTTCATTTAGTATTAGTCAAAGTTTTTATTTTTCTTTCCGTTTTGTTCTCAATTTGACTTTATTTATTGTTTGGTTTAAGTCAAATTTAATGTTCAATTTTGTAGTCCTCTTTTTTATATTCAAATGGTTTTTTTTTTTTACCAATTCGAGCATGGAAATGAAAACTTTACGAGATTTTGTAATTTGCTGCATGAAAAAAATGGCAAATGACACTTTTATTTAAGTACATTATACGAAACTTCAAGTTATAAAGATCAATAGTTTTCAAAATGCAAACTGAGTAAGGAGCATCATCAATATAGTTTCCAATATCAAATGCATGGCGAGAAGATAAGTTTATATATAAAGAAAATTTATTAAAAAAAAAAAAAAATTTGGCTTCGCCCGGGTTCGAACCGGAGACCTTCAGTGTGTTAGACTGACGTGATAACCAACTACACCACGAAACCATTACGAGCCATAATAGTCTCTTCTATATGACCAGAGTCTTTATGGTGCTCCAGTTTTTGGACATGCTTCGAATACAATGTCCGAGGCCACCACAATATGCATAGCCCTTGACACCAATTGCACTAGATAAAGAACAAATTTTACTTTCTCTTTACACCTACATGTGTATTAATCACTCTCTATGTCTCACATTCAAGCCTTACAACGTAATTTTTCAATTCAACTGACTTATATATATATACTAGATAAGGTCCGCGTTTTAAACGCGTTAAAAATTAATGTAATTTAAAATACTTTGTGTTAGAAATTTAAAAATCATAACATTAATAAAAATTTGTTAATATGTTTAGATCATGAATTCATCCCTACAAACTCTTTACTTTTCAATTTGTTTTATGTTTTCCTTTATAAATATTATACACTACATTGCAACGATAACTACACTTTTTGTCCAATGAAATTAATGTTAAATAGCTTAAACTTTTAATTTGAAAATATATACTTATCAATATTTTAATTTTTTTGAATCTTATATTTAAAATATATTTTAACCTTAAAAATTCAGTTTTGCAATCACATTTTAGTATCTATATCATCATAACCTGCATTTTGACTCTTCGCACTTCTTCCGAGATAAGATTTCAAATTTTGAATAAAAAATAATTTATACATCTATATATATAAAGTTAACTTTGCTCTATTCTCCTTCAGCCACATCATCTGCCACGTCATCCACCACATCATCATTTATCTTTTTTTCTTAGCTATAATGTAAATATAATTAAAATTAAAATTAAGATTTTACAAAAAAAAACCTACAAGAAAATAACCAAGAAAAGAACAAAAACAAAGCTACTGTATAATTAAGCAAGATTTGGAATAAGGAATCCATAAAAGCATGAGCTTGTGCTAACGTTTCTTTAGTGTCCTTGACGATATGATATTGCGAATTTCGCGGTCAATCAACTTGAAAAAAGACAAACGCTCGGAGTTATACAAGACGTTGTTGCGCTGCCGTCAAATGATGTAGACTTTCTTTTGAGATGTTAGCTTCTAGAGGAGAGCAAGGACTATTGAAGAAGAGAGTCGAGTCCAAGAGAGTAATTTTGACGACGAGGCGAAAAGTCATTGTCAAGGGCAGAGCCTAGAAAATAACAACATCCAAAGCTCGACAGAAAAATCAGAAAAAGGAAGAGATGGTCCCAAGATTCTGAAACAAACAACGATAGACAACACTCTAAAGACTGAATATATCCCAAGGAAACAAGTCTTTGCCACGTGAGACATCTATCAAGGTGACTTACCCACATATGGAAAGTTATATTTGGGACAACCTCTTTGAACCAATCATAATATGTCAAATCCTTTTCTGCTTCCCGAAGTCACAATGCTTCTGAAGTCTTGGCTAAGAAAATCCCATGACACCATACATCACATGCACACCGTGAGGACAAATCATCAACCAATATGAAAAAATAGAATAACAAAAAAATGACAACAATAAAGAAAAATAAAACAAACGTTGCAAAACAAAAACAAAATATATAAAAAAAATCGAAATATAAATTAAAAGTATAACAAAAAATTAATAAATAAAATTTCAAACTTTCCGCGCGTAGCGCGGGTCAACAACTAGTCATATTATATAATACATATATATATATATATATAATATTCAAAATTTTTAAAAAGTAATTGAGAAATAACATCCACAAAAGTTTGGAGGAATTTAAGAAAGACCATTTTTCCAAAACCACTTTTCAAAATTCTCCCCTATTTAAAAAAATTATTCAAATACCACTAAAATCAGATATTTATTTAAATATGTGTATAAACTTATAAAAATATATACAAAACTACTATATATATGTGTAAATTAGATATTTATTCAAAAACAAATTGGAAATTCAAAATTGTCCGGAGTATTATTCTCCTATATGCCATAATCTTATAAGTAATATTTTACCTCACATCAAACTAATTTTAAATGTGTTAGAAAATATAAAAGATAATAAAATATACTAAGAATTTACCAGAGGAAAAAATTTATATATATCATCAATTTTCATTAAGTAAACAAATTTTATTCATATATGCACGTTTTTCCATTTTCACATGAAACTACATGCATTAAAATCTTAAAATTAAAACATGTAAAAAATATACTAATACATATTTTCTTCACGTATTTTAAAATTTATTTTATAAATTCGTTATTTTTCAAGTTTTTGTGTTTTTACTTACATATAAAAATAATATATTAAAACGATAAATACTACCGGTATGCAATTAAATTATGTTAAATATATTATGTTGTTTCTAAAAAATAAATTTGTTATAATTTTTTATACACATGTCAAAATCTAACTAAGAACACACATACAATGAAATTAAACAAAATATATAGAACACACATACAATGAAAATGAAACAAAATATATATTTGGTTTTGGTTAACATTCCTTGTTGATTTAGGAAAAGGTAAAATTAATAGATATAAATATGTAAATTATATGTAGATATAATTTTTTGTTAATCAGTTTTTTACGATGTTAAAAACAAAATAAAATATTATTTGACACATGGCAAGATCTAATTAATTTATTTAACACGCGTCACGTTAATGGCTAATTTTGTAAACCCAACTTTATATAATAAAATGTGTACATAATTTTCATTTTATCTATTTTCTAATCATTTAATTTAATTTTATTAATTATTAAATGATATTTTATTTTCCTTCTAAAACCTTTAAACTTTAGTCATGGCTATGTGTACTTTTCTGATTCACAAAGATATATAAACCAAATATTATTTAGCTAATCTATTATCAATCTTAGGTTCTAAGTTCTATCAAAATATTGCTTAAAAAAAATATATAATTAATATTATTACCACATGAAACTCTTCTTTAGGTAATCAAAGATCTTTCGGTTTGTTGAAAGAAAATCTTCTAGCAGACATGTGATGTGTGACACTCTTTAGATTGAAGAGCCAAGATATTTCATATAATGAGATGAGCAATTTGATGTTTTTTGAATTTTTCCAACTGAATAGATTAAAATTACAAAAATCGAATGAGTGAATATTTCTAAAATAAAATAAAAAGAAAAGAAAATGTTTTGAGATCGTTCCTATTTATTAGATTTTTATTATATCACATATACATATAAATCACAAATGAGTTTTCCATAGTTTGGGTTTATAAATATTACACATACATAAAAACACACAAATTAATAATATTTTATTAATAAAAGAATTTAATGATTTTTCAGTTTATTTTATTAATTATCTAACTTTACGACAATTTTCATATAAGATTTCATTATATCAATTATTAGAAGATGAAGTAAATGATTCTTAATAGTTTTTTTTTTTTTTTTTTTTTTATGAATGTGAAAATATATTCAAACCAAAAAAAGTTCCTTTGTACATGAAAGCATCCTTATATCAAAAGATTTGAATAAAAAGTTAAAAAACGTGTAAGCAAAATAAGGCAGAGAGAAAGAGAAGAGTTTAGGTGCGAGCAGCCAGCCAAAGTTGGAGGCCATCACCAAACTTTGTCGACTGGTCCTGCATTGAGAGAAGCTTATTCCGAACCATACGGTCCAAAGAACTGATTAAGCGGTCCGTGGTGCTTGGCGTGTCCCCATGTCTGCGGCGATTGCGTTCTAGCCAGAGCGTGTGAACCACAGCCTGGAAAGCAAGGCGCAGAAGAAAGCAGGTGGTGCCTTTAAAAGTCTGACCCGAGAGAAGAACCATGAGCTGAGTAAAGGAAGCAGAGAAGTGGTGTGCCATAAGCTTTCGGGACAAGGCCTGCCAAACCCGAGAAGAGTAGGGGCAAATGAAATACAGATGAGTCAAAGTTTCCAAAGGTGCCCGACAGAAGACACATGATGGGTTCACTCCGCTGTTCCAGGATAGCATACGTTCCCCCGTTGCGAGTCTATTTCGAGCAGCTAGCCAAACCAAGAAGGAATGCTTCGGTATAGAGTTTGAAAACCAAACAACCTTGTGCCAACTCACTTGCAGTCCAGTACGGCGAAGTTGCGACCAAGTTTCCGAAGTAGAGAACCGAGGCAGATACTTCGCATTAGCATATCTCCATAAGGCTGTATCATTGTGCTCACAGTTACCTCGGGCTCGAAGATGTTCGAGTTCGAGTTCGATCTGATTTAGCGTAGTAGACCGGTGACAGCGTCGAGTGCGCATGTGTAAAACCTTAGAGACTGTGGCAGATGAGGGAATACCAAGAGCAATGAATCCCCTATCCCCAAGTAGCTCATATAAACAACCAAGGGAAGACCAGTGATCGTACCAAAACGATGTATTGGCCCCATTACCAATCTCCATCCTATGGAAATCTTTTGCATATTGCCTATACTTGAGCAGCTTCTTCCACATCCAAGATCCTCTAGAAGTGGTCTCCTTTTCTGAC